TTAATCGATTCTAGACTAATCCGACTCAACATTTCCAAAATACGTATATATTTTTTGGGAATAATCCGTATAAACTACGCTATAAACAAAAAATTGTAGGATTACTTACCGAGTGTGCACCATTCGACACCGCCATTGCTCAAGCTTGTTTTCGTCGCGAAGCAGCACACCAAACCACGAACCGATTTCTGCGAAAACTTCGTTAAACTTCGAAGACGTCATTAATATAAATAATTTTAATCGCCGTTGAATAAGAAATGTTTCTTTCACAAGAAATGTATAAAATTACAATACTGTATTAGACTTACGGTACCTAATTTACATACGATACCTAATTTACATAGTGTACAGGCGATAGTTCGTTCTAAACTCTCCGTAGCGTGGCGCCAGGCGGCGGAAAAAATATATATAATTATAATAAAGTTACAATAAATTAATTTATATATCAATTTATATATCAGATATAATTTATATATAATACTGTACAGACGATAGCAAACTCTCCGTAGCGTGGCGCAGGGCAGAGGAAAATAGTTCGGCTTCCCGATGACGTTTTACGTAATTATAGAAGTTTTTTTACCTTTTTTTTACAGATACCGTCGCAATTTTTTCGCAGTTTTATAGGAATCGTAATTATAGGGGGGTCTACTGTACTCACACGTATTCACAATTTATAATTACAAAGATCAGCACATGTACTCACCTATTTGTTGTAAAATCGTGGCACATCTGAGGTCTAACCCTGCCTATCCTTTTAAAGCGCTCTTTTTAGCTCTTCTCTTTCCCTTTCTTCTATTCTCTAGTCCACGTATGCCTATGCATACATCATAATACGCGCTCATGATACTTTCGATTCGTCACTTTTCCATTGTAGATTTCCCATTTTACAATTACGTGACTCATAGTGCCTGATGACAATGGAGAAAAAAAAACAAATAGGACGTCGGTATAAGTCACAATTATGATTTCATACATTCGAGACAGCTTGGTAACCCGAAAGGCCCCAGGCTTTCGCTCGTGCACGCTAAGTGACTTTCATTACAAGCATTTAGCTTTCCGAAGTCTATAACAATTGTTTGGCATTGACAGCCGCAAATTTCAAGCCTCGACTTGTTCGATCATGTTATCAACTCATTTTCATATTTATATTCACTTCGCTGTCCTTCTCTTTTCTTTTTTCGTTATTCACACGTGTAGGTCATTTCATTGTTATTCGCATTTGATATCATCATCCACTACAACTGTCAAGAATTAACGCGATTGGCGAAGCATAGTGACAGCGGGCCAATAGAGAGCAGGGTCCTTGCCATAATTCGGTTTGCGCGCCAATTTTCGTACGTGCGTTAATCGAGACGAATAGTTTGGCCGAATTCTCGGCTATTCGGCCACGCTCCTGGCCGAATATTCGGTATTCGGCCTGAGGCCGAATATACTATTCGTTGCAACACTAAAGAAAACCTGAAAACGTGTACAGCGGCTACTGACATTTAAGTGAGTAGCAACACGTACTGTGTCGTCAGAATATCACGTGCTACCAAATTATTCAGTGACACCATTCGTTGAACAAAAAGTACAGTACAGTAGAACCCCTCTAGTCCGCTTTCAGCTAGTCCGTCACTCTGGTTAATCCGACCGTGGTCGGAGTCGAGAAACTTGTCTCGACTCGTCGGTGACTCCCCATCCGTGGCGTTTTTCTGTGTTCGTCATAGTATATGTTGAAGTTATGACGTTATAGTATATAGTCACTCCTGACATGTTGACACAATGTTTACATTGTGTGTACATGTACAGTTTTGTGTGTGTTTTCAACATGTCAGGAGTGAAACGTAAACACTTTACTCATTCATTAAATGAAAAATTAGCAGTGCTACAAAGACTGGACAAAGGGGAAGATTGTTTATTTTACTTTTTTGCGTTCCGACCATACCCCCAGTCCCAAAGGTGACGGATTAGAGAGGTTCTACTGTACTTGACACTTGACACTCCCAACTCATTTGTGTTGCTACTTACATAACTCGACACTATGCACCAGAGGACAAACCAACCCTCCAGAATTCGTGGGGTGTCAGCCTACTGTCTGGGGGTACGCTAGTATATTACGTCAGCCTACTGCTATGGGGTACCCCAGAGCAGTAGGCTGACGTCTTTTAGTATAATATACTAGCGTTAAATTTTCTGACACTCGAACACACTGGTGGATCAAGACCATCCGACCCCTACACACAGAAGACTGAGGGCTCTCTACATAATTTTACATTATAAAATTGCTTTATTTACTCTAATATCGAGGCCCCCGAGACCCTGAGCCCATAGGCAGGTGTCTCACGTATGGACGAACAGTTAAGGTGGAGGACAATCAGGAATTTTTCGGAGTGGTCTCATTCTTGCCCATTTGTGAGCCTGGCAGAAACTATAACGGGTTTGTTATTAAAAAGGGGGAGGAATAAATCTGGCACTGCTCGAAGAACACCAAGAAACTGATCGATACCTTCCAATCACCTGCTTTACGCCGGTAATCCTTACACCAGAAAGATATTCTTGCACTAAATTTCTCCAGAAAGCATCCCCTAATTGATAATAACCCGTTAAATTTGTGCCTAGAATTACACACGTGATGACACACATTAACCCAACACATATTCGCCATTGTTAAACCTTTTATTCATCATAGCTTTACCTCTTTCTATTATTGTATTCGAGTTATTCATTGTTCCAGAGCATAAAAGAAAGAAACGTCACACTGTCACTTTTTTGGGGGTAGGGTTCACCTCCCCCCAAAGAAATACTGGAGAAAGTAATGGAAAAATTGAAAAATGAAATTTGTAGAGAGAGAGACAGAGAAAAGGATTTATTGCTCGTTACATTGACAAGAGAGAATTAATAATTAATCATAAAAGAGGACAGTTGTATCCCTCCCTGGAAGACAGTTAAGTAAAGCACCTGTCCAAAAAATCAATTATTCAACCTATTTTGACTGTTCACCATTTCATCACGCTATCACGAATACGCTCGGTTGAAAGCTTCGGTCTTGATTCGGGGTGAGAAAAATATACATTAAAGCGAATATAATCAAGTTTGTAAGCCACGCCGGTTAAACCTGTAAACGACGGACACTCCGGCGGGTACATAAAAGCGGTCGTTGTACGGAGGGAGACATTATTCCGCAGTCATTACGAAAGTGGAAGTAATATTGAAGTGGATAGAAGTTTAGGAGTTATGCATACAAGTAAAACCTCTAAACAACGGACAGTTTGCAGGAATATAAAAAGAAAATGGTCGTCGTTCGGAAGTGGAATTATTTGGAAACAAATTTCAAAAGTTGAAGTGGAATTAAAGTAAACGTACTGTACTTACCTTTAGAACATATGTATATTAGTTAAACCTGTAAACAACGGACACTTTGAGGAGAGATAAAAAGCGAAAAAGAGGGAGCCATTATTCTGTATTCATTTGTAGAGTTGAAGTGGATATAACAACAATGTTTAGAAGTTATCTATACTTGTAAAACCTCTTAAAACGGACAATATAAAACGTGGACNTCCGATCTGTCCGCAATGGGTAAAACCAAGGCGGGATGACCCGGCGTTTGGCTAACGACTTTTTTGAGTGCCGTTACATCCATTATTTGAATGTATTTGAGGAGAGATAAAAAGCGAAAAAGAGGGAGCCATTATTCTGTATTCATTTGTAGAGTTGAAGTGGATATAATAACAATGTTTAGAAGTTATCTATACTTGTAAAACCTCTTAAAACGGACAATATAAAACGTGGACGCTGTTCGGAAGTTGGTTATTTGGTAATTATTTTGTATTCATTTCAAGTCAAATTAAAGTGAAAACATTTACCTTTATAAGATGTGTATATTAGTTAAACCTGTTAACAACGGACACTTTGAAAAAACACAAAAAGTGGCCATTATATTCATTTTAAAAGTCGTATTGGATATAACTATAGAAGTTATATATTTGTAAAACCTGTAAACAACGGACAATTTGACAGATTTAAATAGTGGCCGTTATTCGGAGGTTGATATTTATGGAAGTCATTTTATGTTTGTTGCTGATGTTAGGATCATATTGAAGTGAATATAATTATTTTAAACCTCTAAACAACGGACACTTTGACGAAAAAAATAAGAAAACGTCAGTTGTTNACAGATTTAAATAGTGGCCGTTATTCGGAGGTTGATATTTATGGAAGTCATTTTATGTTTGTTGCTGATGTTAGGATCATATTGAAGTGAATATAATTATTTTAAACCTCTAAACAACGGACACTTTGACGAAAAAAATAAGAAAACGTCAGTTGTTCGGAGGTAGCCATTATTGTTTTGTATCAGTTTCAAAAAGAAACGTCGTTTAAAAATTTTCCGCCGTTTACAGGTGGCCGTTATCGGAGGTTCGAGTGTAACAGAATAGGCGAATAAAATAATACGGTTCTTAATCTCGATAATAGATGGCAGCACGTGTTATCATTTTCTTTTTTTTTAACGAAAAATATTATTTAAAAAATAACCAAAATCTTTAAACTTTAAACGGAAAGACTATGAATATTTTTTAAATAAATTAATCAGATAAAAACAACAATTTCGGCGTTTATTATTTGCATACGACTGTGACGCCCTGCGATTGGTCGGATTTAAAAACACGCTACCCGATCAACCAATCGAGTGGAAGTTATTATACGGCGAAAAGGTAGAAGCCGAGCAGCGCCATCTTCCAGCAGCTCGAGGAAGACATTTAAAAATTTAAATCGACCACTAACTGGGGTCGTTACAGTTAAACGAACCGGCCGANTCAGGATATTTATGCTATAAAAATTTTTTAAATAAATTAAGCAAAGAAAAACAATAATTTCTGCGTTTATTATTTGCATATAGTTATGACGCCCTGCGATTGGTCAGATTTAAAAACACGCTACCCGATCAACCAATCGAGTGGAAGTTATTATACGGCGAAAAGGTAGAAGCCGAGCAGCGCCATCTTCCAGCAGCTCGAGGAAGACATTTAAAAATTTAAATCGACCACTAACTGGGGTCGTTACAGTTAAACGAACCGGCCGAGTCAACTTACACGTCATTGGTCGATGGGATGGAAGTTTGTTGTTTTCATTCACGTTGTTGTTTCGTCGTAATCTTCGTGTATTTATGTAAGTTTCAACAATGAAGATTGTGTTTAAGAAGATTGTTAATGAAGCAAAGTGTACGAAGCACCTGTACAGCGTCCAGGACAGACATTTCAGGTGTAGATAAAGAAGCTTGACCTGCCCAACACGTTTGACCTATTAAATATGTCGAGTATTAAGCGAGGATGGAAGCTACGTAAGTTTGTCTGTCTGTTTGTCTGTCTGTTGTCTGACGTTAAAACTGTGAGAAATGACGTAAAATTCACCCGTAAAGTTGTCAATTTTAGTGTATTTAATGAAATATTTGCTTGTTTTTCCTTATTCCATTTTGGGTATGAGCAAAACAAGGTTGTTTGGTGTTGTAACCCCCTGTTTTGTAACTTAATTTATCTCTCTACTTGATTAAATTACCTTAATAATTAAGGTTGACAAATTATGAAATAGACTTTGGCCCTATTTTTGTAATTTAATAGGTTTTTTTGGGCAAAACTTGGGAACAAAATTACCAAATTTCTAATCAGGTTGGCTTGTTTTGGTGTTTGTAAGCGGTGTTCTATCCTTTTTTTTTTTTTTTGTATTTAATCAGGTTTATGTGCATAAAACGAAGCGAGGCCCGCATAAATCTTGTTTATAAACTGCAAATTTGTGCTTTTACGCGCGCCGTAACACCCAAATTTGAGTTTTCTGTATAGAATTTAGTACGAGAAATGGAACGGTGGCGTTTTAAAAGGTTTCGGCAGCCCCGACCCTTTGAAAATTCTGTATTCGAGGTTAATTCTCTGCTGTTTTGGATGCGTGAGTGACGTGCAGAGTTGTTGCGAATGGAAAAAAGCTGTCCGTTCTCTCCTTGTGATAAAAATGCGGAAATTCACACCTGATTATGTCACATAACATACATAAACACTGCTTTGTTAGTCTATGGTGTGGTGAATCGAGTTCAAACTGCTTCCTAACTCCTACAATGCATACCAAATTGGGTAGTAATGTTGTTTTGCTATTCCTCGTGTGTGCCGAGCAATCCGATCTGTCCGCAATGGGTAAAACCAAGGCGGGATGACCCGGCGTTTGGCTAACGACTTTTTTGAGTGCCGTTACATCCATTATTTGAATGTAGTATACTTCGGTAATAAGTACAAGAGCTGTATTTGTACATAACACAAGAAATGGGAGTAACAGATATGCCAAATAACAGATTTTATTGTTAGTGTAGATTTTTTAACTACTTCCTAAAAAGAAGTGGACAAGCTGCTAGTGTTCTATAGTAGAGCACATCTTGATAAGTGCTTAAAATCCTTCGTAACGCATGCAATTACTACACAATAAATCCGTGCATTGTTTACAGAGAGATAAGTGTACGTTTCTTGCTTATCTTTTACATAAAACTGTACGTATCCTACCTACTTATTGACGCGATTCGTGCAGTGATGATATATCAGAGTATAGATAACGATGATTATCGTCCAGTGTGTACCGACAGATTATTAATATCCGCAAGACAAATAAGAAAAATGTGGATTTAAATTCTTTTCGACACAGCAAATTGCACGACACAAAGAGTTTTCGCATATTTTTGTAGTAATTATGTATGAGAACTTTTACGCAAGCCAAATGCACAATGATTAGGTTAAAAAAGCCACATTAGTATAGTACGATGCATTAAGACCTATAGGAAGTTTAACACAGGTCAAAATCTATTGAACGGTTATTGATGATTATTTAACTGTCGCAATTTCGCAGCTTTACGCCACAAAAATCTGTGGTTAGATTCTGTTGGTATTTAAAATGAAGACAATTGCTTGATTATGTTGGCTGTCAATTATTCAACAGAAGTTTACAGCACCACATTGCAGTAAACAAACAGCAAAACAGTTATTTCGAATACCACCGGCACATTATACACAGAGTAAACTTTACTAATTTTTAAAAAATTTCATATTTTTAAAGTTGCGGAAGTTAAATCGAGCGAAATTTATACACTGTGAATCAACTAAATAGGCATGTCGTGAAGAATATTATCATTATGTCCTAGTTAGTGGCGAAAATCAATAATTTAGAACGGGCGCCGCTGACGTTAAACATCCGACGCTGATTTCGCTCGTAACGTTGCCGCGATGCGATCTATGCAAATAATTTGAAATCGGGAACGGATAGTTTTAAAGGTTTCCGTGACGTCTGGACGACGGTTTTTCCGAGGTTTATTGCCCTTCCGAAAGCAAAAAATGCGAATCGTTAAATTAAAATCAGATAATTCTTTGATAAGTATCTAGTGTTTTAGAAATTTATGCCGGAAAGATGAATGAGTATTTGAATTTCTGTATGATTTGATTAATTTTTTTTCCAGTAATGTTTCTATTACTCCACTTTTATAACATATTGATGTAGTTTTTATTGTTTGGTGTACAGGATCACTCATAAGAAAGTTTTAAATTATTCTTTCCTGAAGAATAGTGTTATGATTTATTTGTTCTCATCACAACATAGCATTTTCACACTTGTTTGTGTCGGTGTGTGTTTCTAATTAACGACGGCTTTGATAAGATAAGTTATAGCAGCATTATATACAGTTTCAGGATGTTTTCGGCTTCAACAGTTGGCAGTGTTTTGATAAAGACTCACTACAATCTTCTGAACTGCAAGTTAATAGCTTCATCAAACTGTAGTTATTAATATGTGGCAGGAGATTGTTGTCAACCTGTAGTAAGATGCACATTTTTCTGTTGCTAGTTAACAGAAACAATTCTGTATTCAGTCGACCCCCTATAACACTGTTGATTATTCCATTTTATATGAATTTCATGTTGTACGAGTCACTTAGATTTTACAAATACATGTGCCGGGCTGTGAATGGCTCACATATTTGTAAAATCTAAGTGGCTCGTACAACATGGAATTCATATAAAATGGAATTATCAACAGTGTTATAGGGGGGTGTTTTGCTACAGTTTAATAACAATATGCCACTAGTTAGCAAATTTGATGTGTTTTTTCAGATTAAGCTGTAGAAGGAGATTTTTAACTAGCAGCAAAAGCCAGTTAACAGCTTTCGTCTTTTGCTATAGGTTAACAGTACTATTTTCTCATGACAGTTAACAGATTTAACTGTTCAGAAGCTTAACATCTCTTGTACATTGATAAAGACAATGGAGGATTTATCTTTCCCCTTTATGATACTGTCTTTCTCTTTTTTGAAATTAACGGCTTCAATTAATTATTGAATATTTTGATATAAGTATCAAGCGGTAATTCTATTATGTTTTAAGTCTGTCATAACAGCTTGAACAGTGTCATTACTTATTATCCGAACGAGTTATATGCATCGTAAGTACACGAAAGTGAAAATAGCCATTCGATTGCACTTCATAAATATTTAATGGCGGCAGACTCTCGATTAATTTAGAATTGTAGAATCGTACATTGATAGAGATTGATCGTTTGGCCGGGATATTGATCCCGTCGAGTGTCGTTTCGTCGAAACACATAAGAACTTTACACAGATGTCGACTCTGCGCAAAGAACGCTTGCAATTGAAGAATTCTGTCTGTTTTTATACGGCAAAGTTCGGTGTCTTCCAGTTAAAGTGACACGCCCTTGTTACGGCATAAAATTTCAAAAAGTCGAGGTAGAGAAACAATTATCGGGTCCGGTTATAGTTAATGGATTAAATTTTAATGTTTCTCGGTAAAAATGTAAAACACCGAAATTCCGGAGGAGAAGTGACGCGCAGAGATTGAGGATAGTTAGATTTTATAAATTACGAGCTAAAATACTTGCTAATTGCGTGAACTGATATCGCAGTCATTAGGAAACCAATTGCAAGAATGTAAATTTAATGATGTAAAGAGTGAGGAGGAAAACACATGTGGCAGTATCTTGCTGTGTATGTTTGCTGGATCATGAATTTTGTTTTTTTTTTCTAGCCAAGCAAATTCTGTAGTGACTCATTTAATATGGTTCATTGGATCACTTGTTCTGGTGGGTTGATACACACAGGATAAACAAAGAAAGGTTACCAGAAGTTCATACTTTTAAAGTTAAGTAACCGGATTATCCTCGTCGACAATTTCGTAACCGGAAAATTGCAGTTTACTTCATTACAGCTTTAGTATAATTAATGATAATTGTCGACCTATGCTCGAAATATAGATCGAGTGTTTTTTTTAATACAATTTTTGACTTAGATTGTATGCTAGTGTTATTTAATAACTGGCGTAACGACGACATAATGTAAATCAATCTCCTCGGTGTTCTGGAATGAGTTACGGTGAGTAATGAGTGTTGCGCTACTGCGAATTGATCAATGTATTTAATTTCTCATTCAATTTTTTTTTTTTTTTAATTTTCGGTTTAACTTAATGTCTGCCGCTTGTCTCATTTGAATATTCAATAGAATTTTTTTTTATTATCTGCTCTGTTTTTATAATTAATTCCTTCCTTTACATATCCATTACAGGAATGCCAGTATGTTGAGTGTGTATACAGCATAACAATGGGTTTAATATGTTCCTTAAAGGGGATGACAGTGGGTTTAATGTGCTTGCTTTATAGGGCAAGCAGAGGATTTAATGTTTGCTTTAAAGGGCATGCAGTGGGTTTAGTATTTGCTTTAGAGTGCAAGCAGAGGATTTAATGCTTGCTTTAAAGGGTATAATGACAGGTTTAGTAGTTTTTTTTCAAAGTGTAACAGTAAATTTATTATTTTTGTTTTAAATTTGCATTACAGACAGTTTTCCTGAAGTGATACTGCAGGTTTTTTGTTTTGATTTAAACTTTTTGCTGGCGTCATTTCGGTTATCTGTTCTCAATTTGTTTCCTGATTTTAGTGTTAAATTTGCTGTTTAATGTAGAGAGAATAATTTAATAACGCCACTAGTTTAGTGCATTTGGCTTTTTTTTATTGTATTTTTTTGTCTTAAAAATCCAACTTTGAATATTATATTATGGGACTTGCCCCAAAAGTAAGATACAAAATTACTTAAAAAAATTAAATTAGCCATTTGAAAATCTTCTCTAGACACTTTTTCCGGTGAGAGATGACTGCAAAAAAGTCCTCATCTTACACTTCTCGGATGAAGAACTTAAGGTCATTGAGATGTTTTTTGAGAGGTCCAACAGGGTAAGAATCAGAAGGTGATAAATCCGGACTATGCACAGGATGGTCCGTTACTTCCTGTCTGTGCTTTTTAGCCAGTTTAAAGTCCAGCACAAGTCATTGCATTGTCATTCGGCAGGCACTCCGTCCCGCTTGCAGCCTCATATTCTGATAGAGTACAGTGCAAGGTGATAGCATTGCATACATTTATCATATTTTTCTTTTAATAATGATGAAATTTTGCTTACGAATTGTTTTGATAATGATGATGGTTAATTTAATGACTCGTAACTATGTGTAGTTTGTTTTGATGATTATTTAAGGTGGCCAAAAGTCAATCAACCGTTGTAAAGGTTAGCATTTTTCTCAAAAACATTTATAATTACTGAAGTTGGTCTGTGATTAATTTCCACAAGTGGAGATGAAAGAAGGGTTAATAACTGACTTTTGTGCCACCCTATTTATGTAACTGATACAACTTGAATCCGGGTGGTGCATCTTAAGAGTCGGGCACACGAAAGTCAACTGCAAAGGGTAACAATTCATGAATTTTGCAACGTTCGAATTGATTCGAAGGCAAATTAATTCGCCGCAGGTTTGCGATTCTTGCATCTTCATGGTGTTTAAAAGTTTTTAAAGTCAGCGCACGAAATATCCCACATTTTGAATCAGTTCTTCTCATCCATGCATGCAAATTTATGCAATGATTTCTATTAAAGCAGTGCGGAACGTTAAAAATAGTTTCGTATTGATGCTTCTTTGGATAGAAAATTCTATTAGCGGGCCTTGTACATTCATGGCAGACAGAAGGGGAAGAAAAATGTATTTAAAAAAATGTTCTGTACAAACAGGTGAAGCATACAGGTACTGTTCTGTGTACACATCCTTTCTAGTCTTTGTCAACAAGGACATCTCTTTGTCTTGGAAAGAATCCAAACCCCCCAAATAATGACACAATTGTCGACGTTATCTGTTAACAACACCGAATAAAGAATCCCAAGGTTGACCCACTCTCAACACAAACACGTGCCCGAGGGGGTGTTACGCCTAAGTGAAAGTGTTCCGTTACGCGCCAGTCGAGTTATTAATATATATAGCCCGCTGCCGAAAGAAAGACGTGCGGAGAGGAACTTCTCTTAATACCCTTACCTCGGTGTCGTGTTACGCCCCGGACGAATAATTTATCCGTAACTTAACACCTAAACGCAGTGTACGTTACGTGTTGGATGAGTAATCGGTGTTTAGTCCGATCCGTAACTACACGCAACCAAGTTATCACATGTCTTTTACGTGTGTAAATTTCCCTCTAAACACAAGTTACCAGGTGTCTAGGGGGGAGATTTATGCTTACAATCGAGCTTGTGTTAAGCTGGCCCTCCCTCAACACTAGTAATTTGCACCTTTTGTGTCCGCACTGTCACTTCAGCGATTGGTGTGTAATTTACTCCATTAAAACAACATGTTGTGGGGAGTTACGCTTGTACTTTGTGTGTTGCACGCCGTATTAATGATTATTTATCCGTAACCCATGCTGTTAAGACCTGGATCTATACTCTACAATACAAATTACCACGTGAGAAAGGGGTAATTCGTGTATACATTTTGAAGCGAACGGGTTGTGTACACGCTTGATGAGTAATTTATAGTGTTTGCGTTTTATTAAATACTCGCGTGACGACGTGGGAAGGTCAAAAGTTTCAAAACCATGTTTGAAAATACGAAAAAAATGGGGGTGGATAATAAATTTAGAAGTGTAACCACACGTGATTCGACACAAGTAACTCGTTTATAGCCTATAGGGTGTAGTGTTACGCCTACAGTTGCAACACACTAGTGAAACCGCCTTTAGTGGAAGCGTTATCCCACGAAACGGGATTTGAATTCGCTAAAAACGGGAGTGGAATTTCCCTCGTGCTTTAGCCGCTTCGATCGATAGGCGGCGCGATATTCGATGCCCTATCACACAGCTTGTCTGTCCGAAGCCGATGAGGAGCCTGCAAAGCCTTCACTTCGGTCTCAAACGGAGATCGCTGAAGAAGAATTGGAAGGAGTGTACCTATTCAGTGCGATGGGGTATATTTATATATATATATGCATAAGAGCGCGCGCATTTAGAGAACCCAAGAATGCAAGAATTGTGTCCTGACGTCGTTTCTTTTTTGTGTCCTTTCTAGAGGAGTTTCAAGCCCATTCTTCGAACGTCACGTGCCTAGATATGGGAAGAAAGTCGGGGAGAGTTATGGTCACGGGTGGAGAAGATCGCAAGGTCAATCTATGGGCCGTCGGCAAACCCAATTGCATAATGGTGAGTGTCGGTCTTTTTTTTTCTTCTTTTAGCGGGTTGTTTCGGAATTTTGACGTCTGTCGGCGCGTCACGTGATCGCACCTACACGTGTTGCTGAAGAAAGTGTTGAGAATACTAATGACACGATCGTTAACCAAACGTCATTTCCTCTAGAGGATAGGAGAAAGTGCGTTGACCCCGACCGGAAGTAGTTTAGGAGAGTGTCGTTGACACATTATATCGTAATTACTTGGGAAGGTGCCCCTTTTTTCGGAGGTGGAGTCGAGTGGATATCCGAAGAAACGGGGTTATCAGTCTGGGTGTTTCCCCTATACGTAAATTGTCCGAAAGGTAACCCCGTTTGGGATGCCTCCCCGCCGAGCTTTCCGAAAATGGGAACGAGCGCCACTTTCAGGTGCCTACGTTCTGGCGCGTTCCTTTTAATTAAAACAGGGTGCCTTCGCGTGCGAGACTTTAATTTTTAAAATTTCGAGCGTTACGTAACTTGTACCCTTCGCGGTGTGCTTAATTATAGAGATCCGGCGAGGTAACTGCACTGGCATTTTGCGTAAAGAAGAAAAAAATTTGTCTAGGTATCTCGCGAGGTTCTTGACTTCATAATTATATGCTTAGCTTTTTTAAATCGCGAGATATGAATACGTTAGAAGGGAAATTACTCATTTTTATTTGAGATTCTCGTACGTATTCCCAGAAAAGTGCTCGTATTGATCTTTCTTTCCCACTTCGCTCAGGGTCAATGACACATCCACTATTGATTTTCTATCTTGTTGATACGTAGAGGTTTCACTATTTACGGAAGTGATACCTCGAATTGGATAAATTTATCCGTTCCCGGAACCTTAACTGGACTTAAAAATCTGCCGTAATTCCAGCCGAACCGAAAATTTATCAATAAATTAATCTTTTACAGAGCTTGACCGGTCACACGACGTCCGTAGAATGTGTCAAATTCGGCCAGTTGGAAGACTTGGTGTGTGCCGGATCCGCATCCGGAACGTTAAAGATATGGGACCTGGAAGCTGCCAAAAGTAAGGTTGTGCCTGTAAGAACTGTACATCTTATGGCATCGATGAGTAATTGTTGTTTTCCCTGTTATCCTCAGTTGTCCGAACGTTATCGGGTCACAAGGGAGGTATCAAGTGCCTTGACTTTCATCCCTATGGTGATTTTCTTGCATCGGGTTCCTCCGACACCAACATCAAGGTATTCATTTTTAATTTCGACATTGTGCCCAATGCATTATTCGTGTTCCAAATTAAAATGCTTTCGGACATGTAAATCAATTTTTCACTTTTTATTTTTCCGGTGTGTTTGCCGTCGTTACGGCGTAAGTGGGTTATTAGATACATAGAAAATTCCCAGTAAAAAATATAACTTTTAAATAGCACACGAGAGAATGCATAAATTGATTCTTGTCGGATGAGATTTGTTTCTTTTTTTATCCGATAAGAAATGGCGTACAGAAATTACTGCATTGACAACCGAACGCCTGCAAGCAACGTACAAGGAAAAGGAAGTTCTGTAAATAAACAGACAATAACAGGTTTCTATTTTTTGTAATCACAGTTCAATTATTCTGTGTTTAGAGGAAGTGCTTATGTAAATTGATGATACTAATTAAAAAATTTGTAGAGTGAGGAGAAATCGATTTGATGTAAGGATTGTTATGCTTAGGCAAACCTTATGGACTCTGTAACACACAGGCCCAGTAAATCTTACCTCTGAGTAACACATACAGGCTCGGCAAGCAATACGAACAGGCTCATCAACAGTTGTGTCCTCGGCAATTCTCACGGGACTCGTCAACACTTAAGGACACATTTGCTGTGTCCTTAAGCGTTGCTTATCACAGTTTTTCATTAATATTAATGTAAACATGAATACCACACATACCTTAAACAATTAACCAGTCTACAAATTGTCTATTCGTAGTACAAAATTGGCATCCTTGAGCATAACAAATATCCTTTCGCGGTGTAATTAGAACGGCCGCATCTTCTCGCTTCACGCAATCTGACCGTCATTAATTGGTTATCCGGAAAGACGCAGTCTCTGAAACGGTAAATAATAAATTTATTTCTTGCTAAAATAATTTACGAAAGAATTTATTTTCCAGATGTGGGACGTGAGGAAGAAAGGTTGCATTAATCACTACAAGGTGAGCCGCTCGTGATATTTGTAACTAATTTTATAACCGCATTCCTTCATATAAGACACACATCTGTTGTTTTAAAGTAATACGTATAAATTAGATAAGTAGGTTAGTGCACGACCTACATTTTTCTACTTTCGAGGCTACCTCGTTCCGTTACCCACACGTAGAGAAACTAGTTTCACCTAGCGTCGAGTGACATTGGAGAAGACCTTGTTGATTATTTTCCAATTCTCTTTCTTTCAGGGTCACTGTAAATCCGTAAACTCCCTCCAGTTTAGTCCGGATGGCCGGTGGATCGCGTCGGGAGGAGACGATGGCATGATAAAGGTAAATTTCAGGTTGTATACTCTCTACCACACAATGACTTTGCGGTGCCTTGACGACCAACTACTTGACTTTCTAGCTATGGGATCTTCCCGCGGGTAAGGTTCTAACAGAGTTTCAGGGCCATTCAAATGCAGTAACTGACGTAGAGTTTCATCCAAATGAGTTTCTACTAGCTACGGGTAGTGCGGACAGGTAACCGGTCCTACATTCACCTTTTGGTGTATAGTAAAATACTTGCTGAGATGTTAATAATTATTTTAATTTTAGGACTGTGAAATTTTGGGACTTGGAGAGTTTCCAAATGGTATCTTCGACAGACGGTGACTCAGGACCCGTCAGGTAAGTCGCGCTGGCTATTATAAATGATGATGTTGTTTAACATCATTTTATATTTAATTATCTTTAACGCGGTAGCTTATTGATGTGAGAGAAGTTATAGAATTACTTGAATGTTTTAAGCATATTTTCTTCAAATTTCTAGATGTATATACTTTCATCCCGACGGTGAATGTCTCTTCAGCGGTGCTCACGATCTTCTAAAAGTGTACGGTTGGGAACCAAACAGGACGTTCGACACATTGGTGATGGGGTGGGGAAAAGTCGCAGATATAACGATATCTCAAAATCAGTTGGTACGTCTTCTTAATATATAATTTTGCAAAGTGAGCCATAAGCTGAATTATATAATGCTTTCTTAGATTGCCGGCACGTTTAATTCCATTCACGTCTCTGTATACGTCGTCGATCTGAAGAGGGTGCAACCATTTGCCGCCACGTGTAGTCAGTCTAACATAAAATACGTAGCCGAGCCTCCGTATTCGGTTGGGTAAGTAACAGTCACAGGCTTAAATGTCTTGATTTTGCAAGCTGATACATTGACATAGTTATAAATGAGCCATTTCTACCCAAAGAGATGATTAATAATTTCCTATATTTCAGAAATCCGAGGAAGAGTTTCGAGAAAGAGCCATTGAAAGATAAATCTACCGGGTATGTACTGTTTATGTTTCAAGTTTCGTGTTTATCGTGGGTATGCTTAATTAATACACAATGTATATTTTAGAAACATTCAAATGAAGATAGGAGACGACCTGGAGATGGCAATAGATGATCTGATGGATGATACGACGTCTTTTGCCGATATCAACAATCAGAAAGATTACAATGCAATTTTCCATTCAAAAAGAGAATGTAAATATAGAGTATCTTACATTTAGATTTAAAAAGGGTGTAACACACCCTACTTTATGTATAAACAGGATGTTTTGTAAGTCTGAAATCACTGGAGTTATGTCGATCTTTGTATTCTTTCGTGGGTAAAGCATGGAGGTGAGAAAGAAGAAACAAATTCAAATGTTTTAATGTTGGGGACTTGAAATCAATGATGAATCGACCGAGTTTAAATGCTGTGTATGATTGGGGCAATCCGAATGGTTAGTCTTTGACAACTCCTCATTGATTATAGGTCCCCCACCATTAAAATAACTTGAATTCATTTCTTCTTTCTTGGCATCATGCTTCACCTGTGAAACAACAAATATTGATGTATGTAGTTGGGTTGATAAGTCCTCGGACTCCTCTCGTGGATGGAGAAATGGATTAAAAATTTAACAGTTTTACATTCATTTTTCAATGTATGAACTGTTTTGCTCTACACACTATCTCCAGTGTTAGATAACGTCTTCAAATTCTCTTTTGAAGAATGTTGCGGGAAAGGTGCTCAGAAATTTGGTTGCTTTTTCCGTTAGTTTGGTACAGTAGCTACTGTACCGAACTGAAGGAATGTCACCAGCAATTGTTGCTGGTGACATGGCTGGTGTGGATGGGTGCATTGTGATAAAGAGAAAAGACCTAGAGACCCAATTACATAACACCTATTGTTCCAGACTTATGGGACACCCTGTATACATATAAAAAATTTGGTTGCAAACTTCTTTGAATATATGTGTACTTTTATAAAAAGTTTTACCAATTAATTGAAAATAAAACTTGACAATTTAAGAATGAAATGCATTGTTATGACTACCGCTGACATTTTGTCACTTGAAACCTGAAAGAGCATGGCTTTGCACCTTGCATTGCCGAACCAGTTGGTGAAGGTATTGAAATCGGGTTAAGTTGCATTATTGCCGCTCTCCGAAGAGACAAAATGCTCTTGCTGTGCTCGGAACACCTCGCAAGTCACGTTCCAGATCGCCTTGTAAACGTCAAACCTTGTCTGTGTTTTGTGTCGTAAATGTCAGCAGTAGTTGTATCACACAAACTAGACTTAAGGATCAAAAAAGACGATTGGCGATGACATAAAAGGGTGCATGTATACTGAAGAAGTTTACTTTAATTAGTAGGAAATTGTTTATGCTTGTCATTTTTATTAAAAAAAAAAAAAGTTCTTATTTTGCTACTGTTGCAGTGTGTCGCACGCCTCCCAAGTCGGATCCCTTTCCGGCACCGCTCGACGGTATGCATGCTAGCTTCTTTTCATTTTTATTTTTTTCCATTTTTATTTATTTTAAATGAATGCTCAAAGGTTTGCCTGAAGTCTAAAGTAACACTTATGAGTGATACTCGATTGTTGTGTGATGAAACAGAAATGTAAAGATAATAGAAAATTGTGTGTTCACGCACACCGAATATCACTTATATTGCATGATTTAACCAACCAAACATGCTATATAATGCACAATACAGCATTGTAAGACTTATAAAACAAAGATTTTGTTCTTAAATTTCTTAATTTACTTTTTATTTATAGTGAATATTTATGTTAAAGTATCTTAAAAACTAGATGTAAATGTTTTTTCTTTATCAAAACTTGTATTTTAATTTCATTAGACCCACTAAAAAATGCAAATTCTAAAGCGAAAACATTCAGAAGATTAGAATGCAGCCAGTCTCCATTCCTTCCTCCAGTGGAAATAGTGACAACGTCCTCCGAGAGAAAGACGTTTCCCACGCCGTCCACCGTCTCCGCGCTTGGCATCACTTACGCCAGACCGGCGGATCCGTTCCGGAGGCCCAGTCTCCCTTCATCTTCTAACACATCGCTACTTAAGCCCTTGGAGAAGAGCGTGATGCTGCGGTACAATTCCTGCACAGAGACCTCGGCTGTCTCAGTGGTGAGGCCGGTGCCGATCATACCGGCCGAGAAGGATGTACATCCTAAACAAGCCATAGTCTTCCCAGAATTACAGCAGAGGACAGAAATCAACTACTTAGATTTTGTACCAGACCAACGAGAACATCCTTTTGGTTTAGATTTAGAAGAGTTTTTACCCGTAAGTAACTCTGAAACAAGCAGGAAACTCATAAATGACTGCATACTCTAAAGTTTGTATTATCTCTCTCCAGAGACACCTGCAAGACACACTGAGGCTCGGAGGATCCAATCAGCCGGAGATGTCCGAGGCAGAAGCCATGTCTTGCATAATCCGCGGTCACCAGCCCATGATAGCAGTCATGTCCCATCGACATAAAAATCTCCAGATAATCTTAGCGCAGTGGAACATTAAAGATATGAAAGTAATTTAAGAAATATAAGATTTAATACTTATCGATGATTTTAAAATGCTAAATCGTACACTAATTTTTCTAGATAGCATTGGAGTCCGCAGTCCAAATGAATAACCAGTCCATAATTGTAGATATATTGAATGTNATGTCACCGTGCGATGATCACGTGTTTGGTCCTTTGAATGAAGTTTTGGGAGATGGGAAATTTATCCACAGTGACTTTGGCACAGTGAATCTTCCAATGTTGGAGAGTTTATTGTGTAGTGGCTCCACCATCACCTAAAACTTTATACTGCAGGTACGGCATCATTTCAAAAACAATGGGAGAAGTGTAAGCGCATGGAGTATGAATGCCTAGAGAAACATAAATGGGACTATGCAATACGCTCGGGTCTGTTTCCATTACTAAAATTCTGGACAGAAGTTTGCACATTTTAGTGATTCCAATCGAAAATTGCTTCTGACTCCACACCTAATTAGTGTTGTAAGAAGAATAGGGTAAGTGGTGCAGTTGCGCAGCCATATTACAATGCAAAACACTAAACTTTCAAGATTCTGGAAGGCTCAAACTCCTGTGTAATGTAAAAAACATTACACAGTACTTTTGAGCCTTCCAGAGGGGATCAAGTTGGTCATTCTCCACACCAGTTCAAGCAGTTGTGTTCCTAGAAAGGGGATTGTATTATTGTTTTAGTGTTTGATCAGGTGTTTTGTATACTAAAATTAATTTTAATGTTGTTAAGTACATTTCTACGTTAATCAAGAGGTATTTTTATAAATTTTTGAACTTTTCTTCCTATATATAGATTGCTATTGTGTAATTCTGCTCGACCCGGAAATTCTTATGCCCTCAGTCCAGATCCATAATTCCGTTTTTAGTTGGAGCCGAATAGTTGCCTATTCGGCTCTATATACTAACAAGTGAAATAACGAATACACAATATTAGTCACGAGTAAGTCATCGGAACTGCTCTATATTTGGCAAATACTAAGCGTAGAATCAGCTTTACTCGTTTTAAAAAAATTAAATACTTGTCCGATTAATGTTTATGATCTGTCGGGTCTCATCATCCGATCTTGACTAGAATGACTAAATAGATTTAATATAAATATTATTTATGTAATTATTCTTTTGTTTTCAAGTTAAAGTATGTAGAACAATAAAGTAGAAATCTGAAACCCTAATCGAATATTTTTGACTTTTATGATCTGATGAGCCATAATTATAAAGAAAACCTTTACAGGATCTTTGTTTTTTTCATAAATTTCAGATATTCTCATAGATAATTGTTCTGATCTATCGTTAGATTTTTAAAATAGATCTGATATAAGCCTACTTCTCTACTAAGATTTCCAGATTTTGATTTCAACAATGTAAATATTCACTTATTTACATGAAAAATTATTTAATTATGGCTTTACAAGATTAATTTAATGTTTCTTAAATTGCCACATCTTGAATTTATTAGTTCTATCATTAAAATATTTTAGTCTAATCCTTAGAAAGATTGTTTTCTTATGTATTAACATAAATATTATCTTGAGAAAAGTAATTAGGTTTCAAAGAAAGAATTTTAAGATTTAAAATTATATTCAGAATGATACTGAGAAGAGTGTATTATGCTGAAACGTGAGAAACACATAATACGGTGTGATGCAAAATGTTTTTTTCATTTTAAGTCTGTTCTCTATCTTCTTGCGATTATAGTTTAAAAATGAGCTTTACATTATAAATATTCATACTCTCTAATTCAATTAATGTATTATATTAGAGATAAACAAGGAACTCAACTGTTACAATTTGATTTACTGTTTATCGTAGAAAACAAATTAGTTACAGCAAAGTTATAAAATTATCTTCAGTACTTACTGTTAGATATAGTGATGGAAATGTTAGCTGCCCACCAGTGGCCGAGCGGACGAAACCACCGAATACTGCTAGTTGGTTGTATGTTCGAAGCTTGCAAACAGGCTGGTCACATGTTTTCTGGGATTTCTTTACATTTTTAACATTTTTATGGGAAATGACCCCTATTTAAGTCCACCCAGAAGGTTTCCCCTTGGCAGACATTTCTGGGATATGCTATAGGAGAAACTGCAATACCATGTTTAATAAAACAAACCTTTTCCACAGCACAGTGACTTAGTGACTTCTCGGACATCTTGTACATATGATAGACTTACGTTGATAGTGTCTCCATACTGACTGATACTTTTTATAGATCTGGCTTACCTATAAACAGAGAAATTAAGATTGGTTTGTATAGAATATATAGCATGCAATAAATCAATTAATTAGTTTTTAAAGCAANCGAACCCACGACAGTTTGAGTTTGCATTTCGTATTCAAATTCAAGCTAGATGGCACAGAATGGAGTTATCGATTGGTATTTTTATACATCACTCGATTAAACGTGCAAGCGTTAAATCGAGGTGGATTAATTGACGTGGATTATTAACAACAGATGGCGTTTCGTATCGTTTTAGGTCCGTATGGAACCTGGATGCTTGCCAGATCCTTCTACCTCCCATTTATGATTTATTGCAGAGCAAGTACGAGGCGTAAGTATTGTTTTTTTTTTATTTTTTACTTGTTTATCGATTTATACATTCTAACGTCATAGACGTATTGTTTGTTTTCGTTTGTTTATTTTTTCATTTTAAAAAGTGACACGTCGTAGCATCGTTATGCCATGCGTTATAATTCAATGTTTCGCTCAGGGTGCGTTTACACAATGGGCAAGTTTGGTAGGAGGTAACCCATTGTACGCTTTGCAATGGGTAGTATTGAGCGTGGCAAATGAAGTTGTCGCGAGGGGCGACGTTGTTTATTGTCTCGCTAACTCCCTACCCCGTCCCTAACCCAAACAACGCCATTGAGAGCCAATGGTATGGATCGTTGGAGCGTTGGGCGATACTCGGGTTCCTCCTCTCCTTCCTCGCATCCCTCGGACAGGTGAAGGTCCCAGGTGTCGCGCAGGTGAGCTCGGCGGGTGGTCACGTGATTGATAAGGGCAACGGGACCGGTCCTTCTCCTTCTCCTCCTCCCCCCCGCCCCGTTTTTAAGATGTCATCGTTTGAGTTATGTGGACTTGGCGCGACTTTTTAATCCCAGACGGTTGACACTTGGCATCATAAATCTTTGCTCGGATGATGCGAAACAACGATCGCTTTGCCATTTTTATACACTAGAGGTTGTACGGGTGTTTGAACTGATTTCATGCGTGCTTGACTCCTCCTTTACCTGTCAGGTGAAGAAGTTAATTTTTCATCTCTTGCATTCCGGGCATTTTCTGATTTTTATGTCCGTCCTTCCGGGGAGTTTTTTTTTTTTTTCTCACTCGACACCAGATTTCTATTGGAAGTCCGTGTTAAGATGTCGAGACGGAGAATGGCTTGCACCCTGACACGGTTATTCTCCCCCAAAATGAGCAATTTTTCTATTCTATATTTTGAGAAATCGTTCCTTAAGTGGAACCGTCATTAATTATGATCCCTTGTGTATGTAAACAATGCCGAATACAAGGAATTTCAGTTCCCTTACAAACACACAGAAAAGTCACTAAGATCCTAAACTTTTTTATTCAATTTCCAAAATATATTTTGGTTCCTTTTCGTTGCAGTGTGAATGAAAGGTCTGTAAAGATCATAAAGGATTTTATTGTAGCAAAGTTTGGAAAGGACTGCACACTTTCAGCAGGATGCCGGAGAGGGGGGGTCCTTCACAGTAGTGTGAAAGCAGTAAATTAGAAAATGAATAAAGATTTATACTACGCATCCCTATTTTCCCACTGTATTTAGCAGTCGTAAAACAATGCCACCCTGACAATACCTAGGGTGGTTCAAAAATCAGTTTACCGTGTTTTTTACAAGCTTTTTATTTCGCAGGAACTTGCTAGCGTGTATCAGACAGGATAGTGTTTTCAACAAGAGGCAGTAATTTAGTATAGGTTAACTGATTTTTGTACAGAAGCTCTTCTAGGGCTAATTTTAACAGTAAAATAGTCGATACTGAAAGTAGTATTCGATCTTTTAGGGTGTTTATTAATAAAAATTAACCACTAAATTGCATTTTCATAAGGAAGTAGAGGTTTTAGTGTTTTATCTTTGGCTCATTCACTGTGGATCTCGTTAAAGTGTGGTGTATTATGTGAGTGGAGTGTCAGAGTTCAGTGGGGGTGCTCCTTTAGGTCGTAACGAGACGATCGACATTTCCGGATTTTTTTTTATCCCCCTTGTGTCTCGGACAGTAAATTCACCTTATGGTCTTTAACAATAAATTGCATATTTACGCTCGCCCACTAATAACGCGCTTTGCGTTGTTCGAAATGGCTGATATTACCTGAGCAAATAACAGGGTCTGTTAGTGGACAATAAATCAAGTAGGCATCGCCCCTCTTCTGACAACCAGGTGCCCCAACATTGGAAAAAGTTCGATTCGTTACTTTTCTATAATTATAGTTGTTCTGGGTGGAACTGTTTACCAAAAATTCGAACGTTTTGTCCTCAAGAATGTCTGCTTCCAAGTGAGGGGGAAGGTTTCTTTCCGCTTCCCTGGAGAAGGAAATCCCTCTCTCCCCCCCCCAAACGCTCGGAACTTGAAAGTGTGCCTACGCTGTGCCCGCTGGGTATTTGAGAATTACGGGATTTTTTAAAGACAAACTCGTTTTTTCTGCCCATTTTTCGGGGAAAACAGTGATTACGAAGTGGTACCGTTCGAATCATTGGGTCCGGGAGGTCCATCCATTTCGTATAACTATAGACTACGTGATGATTGGGTAGGGCATTTCCTTAAGGCTAGTGTTTTCGGAAACAAAGGAAGTGACTTCGGGAACGGTACCGCTTCGTGGCACCGAATTTGGAGCCAAATTAAGCACCCTTTACTCATTTAAAAAAAATCTAAAATTGTTTTTTCTTCTGTTTCAGCTACATGACGGTGGGGTGCAATTCCCTAAAACTGATCTTGAAAAATTTCGCCTCTGTGATAAAGAGCAACATCAACGCACCCCCCGGAGTCGGCGTGGACATCACCAGAGAAGAAAGGTGAGTTTTAGGCGGATTATTTGTAAAATTGAATCAGTCGGACGTGAAATGACCTTTCACCCCTTTGTCCACAGGTATAACAAGTGCATGAGCTGTTATAACCAATTGCTGTCCATCCGGTCGTTCCTGTTGAAGAGGCAAACCCTTCAGGGCAAATTGGGACAATCGTTCAGAGAACTCCATATCTTGATGCAGTGTTTAGAATGACACTGGGCCCTCTGTGATAACACTAATACGTCTGGATTCGATCGCGTTACGTCGCCCGACCGTCCAATCAGCGTCGTCCGTCCACGGTTGCGTCTTCCACGCATCGAGTGACACACAAGAAACACTAATAAAATCACGGACCGGACGGGAAATTTCCCTTAATTTATTGAACTCGGTGACAAATTTTTGCCTACACTTACTTGTCTTTTTTATACGACCCTTTTTCATCGTCGTGAAGAGAAATAAAGCGTTTTTTTTATAATATATGTAAATTGTCCCGCTTGTCTTCTTGTGTTTAATTCAAGCATTTTTTTTTCCTCCCTGTCGCGTTTTAAGTAAGACGTACTGTACGACACATTGCTTATATGCAGGAAAGGTCGTACAAAAGATGACATACCTGAAGGAGGAGAGAATTGTAGGTGTGTGCTCCCTTCCCTCATCGGTCAGTTTGTCAGTGTCGCATGAATAGGGAAGTCATTCGTTACCTTTAAGCAGATACGAAACATTCGGGTAGGTTGCTGTCAACGCAAGCAATTGAGCTGTTAACTGCCGGTGATGAATAGGACACCAGAAGATAATGTTAGATAACGCTTAAGAAGGCGTGACATAGCTTGATACTCCAACACAGCGCACAGATTGGTTCCCATGCTACCCTGCAGATATCCAGCTGAGTAAGTGAATTGACGTTTTCGCCTTACTGTACTTCGAGTTAGCCCTTTTCGATTACAATACACCTATATAAATACTGTTTCCTGGACTATACAACGTCACAGACTGGGAGAAGATCAATAGGGGCTTAGTGACTTTCAATATTTTTATTCATCTGCCAAAATATATCTTGTGTGCGTGTGAAGCGAAACGCGTCGGGGACCACCATGTTTGAATTCCACCATCGGGGGGTCTCTTTTAGTTACAACTTAAAGGGATAATTAATCCTGACACGTCTAGAATGTCGCCATTTTTAATGGGTGAGAGTGTGCAGGGTATCGAATCCTATACAATTCACAGTGAAATTCGGTGTTTAAGAGTTACAACAACGTCGATTATTATTAATCTTCCTTAAAACTAAAGTTTTAAGGTAGATTAATAATAATCAAACCTGCTTAAGCCTTTAATCGTCATCCACTTGGATGCGATTGGATAGAACGGAGCGTGAATGAATCAGTGGAGACATTCTAATTGACAAATTTACTGGTTGTTCCATTTAGGAACTGCATGAATCACGTAGGGGCTAGAGTAACAGGGCCACGTGCGCTAGAACCGCCCCTTTCTCCGCCCATCACTACTACCAAACCTCCTCCTTTAGTCTTCTATAACTGAATGAGACTGGGTAAAAGAATGAGAACAAAAAGCTTCCCCTTTACGATTCAAAAACTGAATTTCTTTCGGGTGCTTGCGCGGAATTTCGAAAATCCTCGTATGATAATCCCACGCGTATTTTAAAAATGCAGAATATTCTTCTTCCAATAAGGGGGAAGGTTCGGTTGTCGTGTATGTCTTGCTTAGCACGGGAAGTCTCCCTGGTGAGGTTGAGATCCTCGTTTAAGCTCTTGTGTTACACGTAATCGAATTCGAGTGTATTTCTGCTAGTGTGAGTGATGAAGCCATCAACGTCCTAATGCGCAGAGCATGGCTCGAAATGTGCACTTGTCAACAATATGTCACTTATTGATTTAGCGCGATTTAATTAACCCGAAACGTAATGAAAAGGGCACGAACCGGAACAATAAAGTGTAGTTTTTTTTCTGTTGTAAGCGCATTTCCATTGCATGACTTGCACTCATTGTCCTCGAAATGCCCACGTCAGTTGACTGCATCGATTGCTGTCGTTCCAATTAGAAGGGGATTTGAATGGCAGAAGTCCCTACCGGGCGCTAGAACCGGTACCCTATTGGTGGAAATTCAAAAATGGACGAGATTTATTGTCCCTCCAAGAATGAATCCATACTAGTTTAAGGGGGGAAAGAGGGAACAGACATATGCCTCTTAGTAGCGGGGGACTAGTATTAAGTCCAATAGCCTCATTGACCCTTGTGACACGTGTGTGACCCATGCTCAATCCCTGTCCGACTTAAACAACGGAGAAGGGCATATCTATGATATTTTCTCCATTGATGCCTCGCCCGCTTTTTAGATAAGCTCGCTAGTAATACGCGATATTTGTTTGACTGTCGCGTGTCGTTCAGAATGGATGATTGATTCCCCCCATCCGGGATTTGTCCTTTGCAAATCTACTCGTTGCAGATTGCCAGAGAGAATAGGGAAAAAATAAAGATGCCACTGATGTGCAACTATCATTTTCCTCCGATTTCATGGACAAAAATGGGCCGAGAGGTTACAAAATTTCGAGATTTCTCACTCCATCGGGGCCTGGGAGAGTTTAGAAGGGCGTAGAGCACTTGAAAAAAGTGTTGTAGTTAATAGAGTGTAGAGTCGTTATGTAAACAATCCCATGGTAAGGTGGCACATAAAGAGCATTTACCAGTTAGTTTAACGGTGTGCAAACTTTGCTAGCAAACCCCACTATTATGAGCAAAGGAGCACGTCTGCTGGCACCACAATAGAAGTGGAAGGCATGAAAGTCATCGTGCAGACGTAAGAGCGGGGTCTACATTCAAATGTAGACAAGCGGAAGGAACTGAGGTGTCGCATCACTTCATGAAAAGATATTCTGGATGGCGATTGCCATTTCTTCGCACGGTTTTTTTGATGACTTAATAGGTTCCCTCCCCATTTACGACCAGGTGTTGAAAAATGGAGTCCGATTACTATGAAAAGAAACGAGCGGCAATCCTAGAAGATAATTATTGTCAATTGACAGATGTTCTCTGTTCTTTTTTCACTTCTCCTAGGCTATTTCTGGCCATTTCGGTGAGAAAATTAGTGACGTCGACAATGGTATACCCAATTTTTACATTAGTAAATGGACACGTAAGCGCACGTAGCCTTAAAGCGGTTGAATTATTAACGGACCTGACCCCCTGTTCTACAGTGTAAGAGGCTTGGTGTTATGTACACATTAGCACTTAACGATCGTTTATAAATATACAGTAAAACCTGTTTAAACCGGAAAAAATATTCGGTACAGTACGCATCCGGTTTACACAGGTCTCGTTGTAATTACAATTTGTAAAAGTTTAGATAACGTATGTAAATTTATCGTCGCCTTTACTTACGCTTGGGGCCTTCCGGCCACTCCTATGGTAAGGCCTGCAGTTCAGTTTCTAAGACGAGTTGCCAGCGGGGGCCCGCATTTAGTGGGCATCTGAATTCTTGCATACCTTGTATAGTTTTTTTTATAACATCGTCGGCAAGGCCTCAAAATTAATTGGGTCTCTCTTCATCACTTAAAGGCCCTGTTAAAGTGCAATAAATTTATATTTCTGTTTACGCTGTTGGAATTAAGTTTTAACAGTGTCTAATTAGCAGTCTTCAATAACGATTGCTGTAAAACCTGTCCAAAACGGAAACCCTGCCTAAACGTAAAAAAGAGTATTCTGTACCGTGCGATTCCGGTTTACACAGGGTTTTTACTGTACATAAAAGTGTCAAGATTTCTGGTAATTACAGTAGTTGAAACAATCAAAATCATGCAACCAAGCTTTCTAATCAATAGACGTTTTACGAAGTATCATTTAATGCTCCATAAACAATAGCGGATCAGGCACTCGGAGGGCCCCCAAGCGCAACTTATTTTTGAGGCCCCTTTGTCCTAAATACTAATCGGTCAATCGTTTCAAATGTCTAAACGGAGATGGTATCTGTGCCCGAGTTTTACAGATTGCATCGCTGCTGCTAACTTTTAGAGGCCTACGACAATCGGAGGCCCCAAGCGCGCGCTTCTTACTGTTCAGAAGGAGAAATAATGAAAGGAGTCCCGCAAATTTGCTGCTAATTTGAATTAGAAACCAGTTTATCATCATCGTCATAACAAGAAAACAGCCTTGTTCGATTACAAAATACACAAACAAGTTTACTTCTCTTACTTTCTGTAACCTCTGTTTGCAGAGGGAGAAAGAAGAGGAAGAAGAAGAAGAAAGTAAAAAAATAAAAGAAAAGAAAAAAAAAAAACATCACCTGCCAATACCAATAAACACTTTGGTGTGTCTTGCCGGTCATTAGCAAGACTCCTGACATGGGAGAAAGTTCTTTAGAGAAGGGAGAGAAAAAGAGCTAGAGAAAGACCCCCCGCCGTACTGTGACGCAATTAGTGCAGGCCCTCGAAAGTTGGAACTGCTGGGAAGTATGAGGTCATTGTACAGTTGTACCCGTCCCCGGCTGCACTTCAACATTTCTATTTGTTCACGAGGACACTTTACGAAAGAAGGGGGGAAAGTATATAGTGAAGCGAATTTTTTTACTTTCCGTCTGAGAATTGAAGGGCACTCGAAATGGCATGAAAAGACCCAAGAATAGTTGTCCATATATTGAGCAGACGGTGAGCCTTATGTGTATGGAAACAAGTCGAAACTTTATGAGGCCTTTATATGAAATAATCCAGATTAACTGTCAAGAGTAAACATGCGGTCATCATACACCTGGAATTGTCAAACAGTAGTCTTGTCAACAGGAATAAGATATATGAATTATTAATGTGACCCTCCCTCCCATCTGACCACCTGCTTTACCGACACAGGCATTCTCCTATCCATTGATCATGTTTTGACATTAATTGATTCTCTCACCATTAATTCTCTTATAGGGTTTTAAAAAAAGGGGGAAGAAGTTAATTGTTACTTGGGGATTTTGGGTAAATAGGGAAATCTATACAAAAATTCCTGTCGTAATTACTTATCGTGTAATCTCCGTAACGCTTTTTTGTAATTTGAGGAAGAGATAAGGATGAAGTTAAGTATTGATCAATCTTAAGCTATCCGGTGTTGAACACGGGAATTTTTCAAACTTGCACGCGGCCATTGTCCGAAAATGTCAATTTTGGACACTGGTTTTTTTTTTTTTTTAAAGTTTCAAAAATATTCACGAAATTTAAGTATTAATACGAAATTTATTTATTTCTGGTGTGTCTAAACACAGGGTGGACCAAAAGTCAGTTAACTAATTTTATATAACAGAGGAATAGCAAAGTATTTGGGAGGTTTTCTGTGTGTAAAGTATGTTAGTGTGAATGGGGGAGGCACGATTATGTTATCCAAATTCGAAGCTTAATAACTCGTGTGATTTTTGTCAAAAATTTCTGAAATTTTGCAGGGAATTTCGTGTATTGGCGGGAGGTTTTTCTAGAAATTTTCAGAGAAATAGGACCATTGGTTTGGGAGATATTGCCCCCTA